AGCCATCAAAAAGAATGAAAACTTGCCATCTGCAATGACATAGATGGAGCTAGAGTACATTATGCTAAGTGAAATAAATCAGAGAAAGACAAATACCATATGATTTCACTCATACGTGGAATCTAAGAAAGAAAACAGATGAACATAAGGGCGGAGGGGGGGGAAGAAAGAGGGAAACAAACCACAAGACTCCTACAGATAGAGAACAAACCAAGAGTTGATAGAGGGAAGTGGGTAGGGGATGAACTAGATGGGTGATGGGTATTGAAGAGGGCACTTGTTATGATGAGCACTGGGTGTTGTATGGAAGTGATGAATCACTGAATCCTACTCTTGAAACTAATATTGTATTGTAGATTAACTAAAAATTGGAAAAAGAATAATTGGAATGGTTTTTATTTTTCCACTGAACCCTGAAAAACACACAAGATACAGTTGTCAGGCCAATGATGATCAGGACTACATTTTTTCTGACTAGATCTTAGATGTAAATGAGACAAACAGAAGAAAGCCCAACCTCTGCTTCAGTTCGTGTGGAGTTGGACTCATGACTGCTCTAATACAAGGGAAGGAAAGAAATGCTTCAGAAAAGTGAAGTCATAAGTTGGCCACACAGGGAGTTACTAGAGTTGGCATTCTCTCTCCATTTTTTCTGAGGATAACCCTGAGACCCAGCTGCACTCCAGTCCCTATCCTCTATTGGAGAACTTTGGCAGCTGAACCATGTCCAAGAGGAGCTGTTAATACTACATCTGTCATTAGCTACAGCCATCTGAAGAGGGCAAAAGCCCAAACCGTGAGTGTCTTGCACTAGGATGGCGGTGGAAGCACAGGATGAACAGGCAATTGTGCATAATACCTTAGAATTAAGCCTCTTTTCCTTTAAAGAGCTAAGTGTTAAGTGATCAGTTCAACTGGACCATAGGGGTAGTCTAGGATTAAAAGATCCTGTCTTTAATTCGTTCAGCTAGCTCAGGCATATCTTTTTTTTTTTTTTTTTAATGTTTATTTATTTTTGAGAGAGAGAGAGAAAGCACGAGCAGGGGAGGGGCAGAAAAAGAGGGGACACAGGATCTGAAGTGGGTTCCACGCTGACAGCAGAGAACCATGAACTCACAAACCATGAGACCATGATCTGAGCGAAGTCGGACACTTAACTGACGGAGCCTCCCAGGCTCCCCTACCTCAGACGTATCTTAAGTAAAAGATGTTCATTAACAAAGAACTATATATACTTTCAAGCAAGATAATGCACATAAGACAGTATAATGTTTATATCATCATCCAGAATATACACAATTTTAGAGTCTGAAAGAGCGTGTACTAAAATGTTAAAACTGGTTTATTTAGAAGAAAAGGTAATTAAACATTTAAAAAATTCTACCTAGATATACTTCAACTCTATCATTGCTGTTTTTTCCCTACTAACAAAACTCTGTCTCAGGTAACAGGATGCCAAAGGCCAGGAGACAAACTGATCTACCCATCCCTCTTGGTCAGTGCCCCATCCTAGGGTAGTTATGTGGCCCAGCTGTCAGAGACACAGGGGCAAGTCTCTTTGGGCCTCTGAAGGAACTTCCTCCCTAAGAGCATAATGAGGAGAAAGTTCCTTTACTGCTGTTTACTTTGCTTCTTGCTGTCTTTGGACGGTTATTTGAAGAAATGACATTGTGTAGCAGCCACTTTGCAGTACTGAGGCTAGCAAAACCAAAGGATCTAAGAAAAATCTTGATAACGTTTTGGCTGCCGCCCAAGTCTGGAGCCATTTATCTCTAGACTTCTCCTTACAGGTGATAACATCCTTATTGCTTATGTCACTGTCCACCCAGTTTCCTGTCACACTTGTGCCAATCTCATTCTGCAAGAAACACTTGTCTGTCTGGCAACAAATAAATGCTTTATGGTGCTCGCTTCAGCAGCACATATACAAGTAAATGCTTTACGTTCGCTCTAATTGAAAAACAACCCTATTAAAAGTCTACTATGACCTCATTTTTATAGAAAGCAAGTAAAACTGAACTTAGGAAGGGTAACCAATTTTCCCCAAAGTTACTGGTGGAATTGAATTAAAACCCAACCCTGACTCTAAAGCCTACACTGTGTCACTTACAGTTAAAAAATGAACAAGTCTATAGCTCTCTCTTTTAGAATCGTAACAAAATGCCTACACGCAGATGCAGGTAGTAATAAATTTGCACGCATTTGCACTCACACCTATGAACTTGACTCTAGGCTTTTTACTCTCCTTATTTGCATGTATTTCTTGGTAGAAATGTATACTTCAGAGGCTTGGTCAAGAAAGTAGACTTGGGGGGGCGCCTGGGTGGCTTAGTCGGTTAAATGTCTGACTTTGGCTCAGGTCATGACCTCACAGTTCGTGGGTTCAAGCCCCATGTTAGGCTCTGTGCTGACAGCTCAGAGCCTGGAGCCTGCTTGGGATCCTGTGTCTCCCTCTCTCTCTCTCCTTCCCCGGCTAGCGCTCTCTCAAAAATAAATAAACATTTAAAAAAAAATTTTTTTTAAAGAAAGTAGACCTGGCGTGCCTGGGTGGCTCAGTTGGTTGAGCGTCCCACTCTTGATTTCAGCTCAGGTCATGATCCCAGGGTCATGGGATTGGGCCTGTGTCGGGCTCTGCACTGAGTGTGGAGTCTGCTTGGGATTCTCCCTCTCTCCCTGCCCCTCTCCCTCACTTGCACATGCTCTCTAAAATTAAAAAAACAGACTTGCTTCATCTTTTTCCACACTTTCACTGATGACCTCCAATCTGTACACCAGGGACATAGAGACAGGTCACGGGGACTCTGATGCAGGATCATAATATTCAATCGCTAAGATACTTGAAATGAATAATGTGAAAGTGGTACACACTCTTCCTCAAGCTTTCTTAGAAGTCAAAGAGCTAAAGACTGCAAGACACCAAACAGCTAAGGAGGCAGGGCCTTTGAGTTAGCCCAAAAAAGCAGAAGATTTTTTTGAACCAAAGAAACAGAAGAGAAACAGAGAATTACAAGAGGCCCACTAGCAGTGCATTAGCTATCTAAAAGACAGCACTGAAGCCCGGAGAACAAAAACTCAGCGTTAGACAAAACAGAACTTTCATGGTATATGCCTCCACAGAAGACTTCTGTCCCTTATAATGAAGACACCAGAGCAACACTACCAACAGAGCTCATGTGACCTCTTAGCTACAGAAGGGGCAATGTTCAATCACCCCTCATACCTGCTGGCTAGGCAGTTTGAGGGGCTCAGGACAGGAAAACCCCAGCTGTCATGAATAAAAAACAGACTTGAGGGACAGAAAGGTGAGACCAAAGGAATGTATATCCATCCAAAACCTCTGGGACCACCTAAAAGTCAGGAGGAGGCACTCTTATGAGCCTGTGTGGTCCATCGCTGTTCCAGAGGTGGTTGGCTAAGCTCTCAACTTGGGACCATGATGTCACCCAAGGGTAACTGTAGGGTGCTGGAAGGAGTCTCTGACTTTACCTCTGGTATAGCCTATAGCTAGCACCTCACTACAGTGAACAGGGAGCTGTGACATCAGCATCTAACAACCACAGACACTGCTGCGAGCAGCCTTCCCTAATCCCAAAGATGTCTCCTACCACTGAACCAGGGAAAAAACCCAGCCTGTGGACAAGGGAAGAGAAGCTGCTCCTCCAGAAACTACACTGGAAGGTTCAAGAGTGTAATGACCTGGTACAAGAAACAAGATCACAGACCCATGAACTCAAAGGCCATTGTGGCCAGCTGGGATTGAGATGCAGATCTGGTGACGGTAGGACAGGAGGTAGAGGGGGGCCTCTCAAATTCAAAGCTTTGAAGTGGGAGGTCATCTGTCAAGTGTCAAAGAGGCGGCTCTCCAATAAATCCTAATTTCTCTTATCAGAGGTTGTTCTTCAGCAGTATTTGAGTGTGGTTATAATTGAGTGGTCACAGGATTCTGTTGGGAAATATTTAAATGGAAGTCAAAAGAGTACTGCTACTTATTGGAGGAGTTGGGGGGATAGGGGAGAGGAGTTGAGGGATAGAAGGAAGGAGTCCCGGGACCATGATGTCACCCAAAGGCAAGTGTAGAGAGCTGGGAGGAGTCTCTGACTTCACCTCTGGTAGAACCTTTGGCTTGCAACTCACCACAGTGAACAGGCAGCACTTAACTGCTCAGGAGAAAATGGGCAGAGAAGGGCCTGAACCTATACCTTGAGAGCCTCAGGACCTAGGGGGGGATGGGAGGTGCAGCAAGAAGGCAGAGATACAGCAGCTCTATTCACTTCTCTCAAGAGATTCTTGAAGCCTCTATTTTGTTTGAAAACAGACTCAGGCAAAGGGAAGGGAAACTAACATTTATTGAGTGCCTACTGTGTATATCTGGCCTTGTGCAAGGAATTTTCATCTACAACATTCCATTTAATCCTCACACCAACCCTGTGAGGTAGGTATTATCCTCATTTTTGTCCTATGAGGAGTATGAGGCTCAGAAAGGTTAGGTAGTTTGTCCAAGGTCACACAGCTAGTAACTGATGGAACTGGGACTGCACACTGAGTCCCAGACTCAAAAATTCCCTGCTCTCTCTCCAATACTGTTTCTTGGGAAGGAGGAGGGAGCAAAAGCAGCAGCAGTCTTTACGCTTCCTACCCTGAGAACAAGACAGTCAGCAAGAAAAGGAGACTGGGCTTTCCCATAGACCCTCCCCTCTCTACCAGGGGAGGGTGCAGTCATTTGAAGAGATAAGACATAAATACAAAAATAAATAGAAAGGACAAGCCCCCCAGCATCGAGGATGTGCAGGATCCATGCTGTGGGAAGGCCATTGTGCCATTCACAGCTGCTGTGGGAGGGAGCCACGTGGGCCCTATGGGGAAAACTGGGACAATGGCCGCCAAAGGCTGGAGTGGGTGGGCTAAACAGGCCCCTTCTGGGTCGCACAGATTTGAGAACAAAACGTCTGGAGCAGGCAGCAGCCGTGGGCACAGTCACCATCATCCTCCATCTGCTCATTTTACCGGTGTTTGTGATCCAAGAGGGACTCAAAATCGGGGGAACATACAAGTTTGTGCTTTATGTGTCCCAGGACTGTCATCTCACCCGTCCTACTGTCTCCAAGGCCCACGGACACCAGCTCCTGCCAACCAACAGAGACAGTGAGGAGAAACAAACCAAACAGCTCATTACTCAGTCCTATGATTCTCATGTGATAATCCCCAACCCCTACAGGCTCTCACCTGCAGAAAGGAGCAGGTGGTTCCCATCGTTACATCTAGAGTCACCTTGCCCAGGAGGAGCTGCACCTTCCCTGACTTGCGGATGAGCAGCTTGCCAACCTGACCCTCTGTCAGGTCAGCCAGGGTACAAGCATTCTCTGCCAGCCTGGCTTCCTGTGGAGAGAATCAGGAGATGGACGCTGGGTAAGGAGCCGCTTCCTCCATCCTTCATGGATGAAACCTTTTCTAAAGGAAGGCAGCAGCAGCAAAGGTTAGAATGAGCTCCTCAAGAAGGCCTTTTCCCAAGGCTGCCTGTCGTTGGCCGAACGACAAAACCCAAAGCAAACAGATGAACGAATGGACAAAATATTCATAATTGCTGACATTTTCTCATTTGTACATGTTTAAAATATTTCATTGTAAAAAGTAAACACGTGTAATTGGGGTTGAAGTACAAAGCCCCAAGCCCCTCGTGGGTAGAAAGAACAAATGTGTATTATTTTGGCATTTCAGCTTGGGTGGCACACTTTTGCTTCCCCAACAGGTTGCTGTTTCCCTTCCTGGTCCCCCCGCATTTTCACAGAACTCACTCCTGAGCATACCCGGTCTTTCTCCTGCTTTATAACCACCATCTGTCCATCCTCGCTCTGCACTTCGGTCTTGATAGGCTTGATGTCCTGGGTAGGCGGCTGACCAGGGAGTGTGTCTGGCAGCTGAAGAAACAGCAACTCTTCATCCTGGGTGAGGCTCAGCTCCCTGAGCAGCTCTGCCACAGATACGTCCTTTGGAAGGCTTGGGGTCTTTCTGGCTGTTCTGGGAGGAACCTTCATCTTGGCCTCCTCCTCCTCATCCCGGGGCTCCTCTTTCACTGCCCAAGATAACAAATGGAAGAGCTATCAAGTGGCCACCCTCTACGTCCTCTCATTGTACCCATCCCTTCATCCTTGTCTGCTTCACTGTCACTCAGCTAGGAAGCTGGAGGGTTATGGCTATGAAGAAGGACCCAGGAGTTGTATGACTTACCTAAAAAGGATTATCTGAGGCTGACCCACAGATCCATGGCAGCATGAACCCTCTGCGAGTGAGAACTTACAATCTCTGTAAGGTCATGTATTTTACAGCTAGAACGTGGGGGAGGGGGATCTGCTTATTAGTCTGGGAGGTTCATTCCTAGGGAGGATTCAGGTGAGGGGGGGGCATCCACAGGAAAGGAGATGAGACGTTAATGGACACAGAGTACCTCTCACAGCAGGTACATCCACCTCCATGTCCTCTTCCTTGGGGCCACCCAGCCAAGGCTTAACATCTGGTTCTTCATTCTCTTCCTTGAAAAGCCATCCGGAGTGAGCCAGCGGCAGCTGAACAGGCATGTTTCGAGTGTCATTCCTCAGCCCAGGGTCATCGATGAACTACCAGAGAAGAGACGGGGGGTCACGTGGTCTGGCTAGCATACACACAGGTGGACTGCAGCCCACCTCAGCCTTTTCTAACTGAAGATTCCTCCTGCTCACAGGCTTCCAGGACATCAGAGAGTTCTGCCACCAAGCTCGGCCCCCCAGAAGCCCATTCCTCCCAGTCTGCCGGTACCTACATCATCCTTCTCCAGCATGCGCAGGATCTGTTTCGTTTCTTCATCTGTCTCCCTCTTCTCTTTTTTGATGTTGATGATATGAGAGGGCCCCATGTCTGACACATCCACTGTCTTATCCCAGTTCCCTGTAGGAAATCACTCAGTTCACCAAGGGTAGGGAAGAGGCCAACAGCAAGGAAAACTAAACTGGGAGCAAGGTAATTTTACTGCCCTTGCCCTTCTCTCAGGCAGTCTGAACTGAAATCCACTGATTCCTTCCTCCCGGAACCCCAGCAGCTTGGTACCCTTTTTCTTCATCATTTCAGCTGGGCCCTGCTCAAAGATGGAGTGGGACTGGATCACTTCTGGGCGGCCCCGCCCCCGTCCATGCCCCTCTCGCTGCCGGTCTCTATCCCTGTCACGCTTCTCCTTCTTGATGGTTACTTCTTCCTTGGGCCTAGAAAAGAAAATGGATTAAGGAAAACCACTCATTCACTCCACCTCAAAGAATTGGTCTTACTTCCTCACACCACTCTGCTCCTCCACCTGAGTGGATAAGTAGAGAGCCAGTAACTGTATCAGAAACAGAACCCAACACTAAGTTTAGCTAGCACCTTTTCTACCTGATGGGGCAGCGTCCTTTCAGTTTGCTTTGCTTTACCTTCTTGCTTGAGAAGAACTGTATTAGAATTATAACTCAAACGCTGAATTACAGAGACTGCCCCCAATGTGGACTTTTTACAATTGCCTGAAAGCAAAAGGTTGTAATACAAAAGAACATAAGTGAAAACCTGATACATCTTTGTCTAAACTAATGGCTCTCAACTCCAGCTGTAAATAATCACTGTTGCATTGCAAAAAAGTTAAATCACCATTTCTAGAAATGGATTTCTAGGCATCAATATTTTTTTAAAATTTGCACATTAGAATCACCTGGAGCCAGGGTTGAAAATCACTAGTGAAAAAAACTAAATATGCACACTTAGATGTCTGAGGAAATAACATACCTAGTTATTTCCCAAAAGACCGAAATTCAGAGCAAGTAAATAAGGGGAAAGTTTTTAGAAGGCCCAGCTACTTACTCTTCCTTGATTTTCCGACTGATGATATTTGGGGTGAAGGTTTTCTGAAAGTAAAATATGGGAGTCACTGATTTGGTAAGTTCTGATCCCAAAGTACAGAGAAAAATGACAACTCTTAAAGGGCATCTTGTATGGACCAAGACTACCACTCTACATTCCACACTGTTGCCAGTGATTTACAGAGACATACATGTACTTAAGAGGGAAGAACAGCATGTCATGGTAACAGTGGGCTTCCGGAACAGGATACCAAAAACCATTAAGCTAGCAGCCTCAGCTTCTGCCCTCTGAAAAGAGAGCCCTCGGGATTTCTAAAACTTATTTATCTAATCTCACTTCTTGTCCTCAAACAGCTATAGAAACCATTGAGTATCACAGGAAAGAGGTCTAGCAGCAAGGCTCAAGTAGGAAGTAGGCCAGCACTCACAAATGGATGATAGCCTTAGACTGCCACCAGCATTTCCCAATGCAAACAAGTCTTCAAACACTGGCTGCTTTATGCTTGTTATCCACCCCACCCCCCAATTTCAGGGGTATTCCTATATCTACAGTCATAAACACAACAGAAAAGGTCACAGAGCCTCTTATGCTGTGCCTAGGATTCATTACACTCTAGATAAAAGTTTGCCCCTTAGGATCCACGGCCAATTCGGAACTCTAAAACTGCAGGCAAAATTTATGCCTGCTGGCTTCCATGGTTTCTTAAAGGTGTCTAAAACATATAAAAAAGGTAAATAAACAATGCTCAAGTTGCTTGGGAACTAGTTAGGATTCTCGGCCCTTCAGCCATCTCTGAGAAACATGTCAACATCTTGTACCCTGTATCTAGACTTAAAGGTAGGGCAGGCTCCCTTGAATTTGTTGGCCAAAGTCTGGGGACAAGATTTGTTAGGCCCAAAGCCACGCCTGGCACAAGGCAGGCCCTACGTGAACATCGGTAGAACCCCAGGTCCTGGAATTCAAGGTAGTTGGGTTTCTTTAGAAAGGTGCCATCGGGTACCTTCTTAACTCCTCCGAGGGTGAGGTCCCTGGAGCGGATGGAGGGAAGACGACCTGGGGTAAGTGGAGGGGCCGGCCTCCGCCCGATAAGCCCCCGGGCCCCAGAGAGGAGGGGTCGGGGCCCTCCCGGACCACTCGGCTCGCCTGCGGCGTTTCCTTGCGACATGTTGCCTGGGAGAAGAAGATGAAAGGGGCAGCAAAGTCACTCGAGGGGGCGGACACGCGGACCCTGGGCGGAACCCTGCCCACGTGGCCACCCGCCCCCCAGTCAGTGCGTCCCTCCCTTTCCACGTGGCAAGACTCCCCGGACCACCCACTTAGAGAGCTTGGCTAGCCCTCTGCCCAGGACCCGGGTCAGGCACAAGGCTGAGACGCACCCCAGCGCCCCCGAGCTGTGGCTCCACACCAGGCGCGTCCCGACTTCACCTCCGACGCGGCCCGCAGCCGGCCCTGAGTCTCTCCGCCCGGCGGAAGTCTGCGTGGCAGGGTCCGGGCGCCGCCATCTTGCCGCGGGGCGGAAGTGAGGTCGATGGGCGGGGCCGGGCCACAGTATTTATCCGGCGGCGCCTCGCTCCCCTCCGCCTTCTCTTCCCGGTTCTTCCCGGAGTCGGGAAAAGCTGGGTTGAGAGGGCGAAAAAGGAACAGGGGTGTAGGTTACCCTGCGGTTCCGCGTTCGGGGGTCTAGGCCAGCGGCGAGTGGGTAGACGCGTCCAGCTCGGGGTCCGGGGGTCTTGGCACGGCACGACCCAATATGGGGATTTGCCGTGGCGGAGCCTCTGGGAGCAGTGGGGTAGCGGCTCCGGACAGGGCGAGGGGCCGAGAGCGAGATCCGGACTCAGAGTTGAGGATCCCTGGGTCCGGTCGAGTTGCGGCTGCGGGCTCGATGATGACCTTGGAGTGGTCATTGTACTCTGGGCTCCGGCCTCGCCCTCGCTTGGGGGGTGTCCCTTCCCTGGATTCCTGGTGGGGTCCTGTAGTGGGGCTGTGGGCGCAGCGCTAGGGCAGCTGTGGCGGACTCTTGTTCCAAGCCCGGAACCTGAAAAACGAAGGTTGATCGACTGGGAGGCAAGAATTTAAAGAACTTTTATGATGATTCCAGCATTTGTAATTTAACATAAAAAAATGCCTTTACTGTTCTTCTCCCCACCCCCAAACCATGTAAAAATCACTTAATACTGCGGAAAGTTTGAGGGAAGGAAAACATTTCTGCTACAATTCCACATAGAATACTACTTTTAAAACTTCTGTAAAATATTACAATCCCTTTCATAGAGCTGTCATATTGTACTACAATTTTGAATCCTTCCTTTTGAAATAACATTTCTTTGTTGCTGCATCAAATAACTGATGTAATTCTCAATGCCTATGTCATGATTTGCCTATTTTCCTATTTGGACGCTTAGGTTGCCCCCCACCCCCACTCCCGTAAATAATGCTGTGGTGAACATCTGGTGCATCTAATGTTTTTTCTTCTTTTGGATTATATTCGTAGGACTAGCTTTTTTTTTTTTTTTTAATGTTTATTTACTTATTTTAAGAGGAAGAGAGCTGAAGCAGGGGAGAAGCAGAGGGAGAGGGAGAAAGAGAGAATCCCAGTCAGGCCCTGTGCTGCCAGCACACAGCTGGAGATCAGGACCTGAGCTGAAATCAAGAGTCCTATGCTTAACCAATTGAGCCACCCAGGCACCCCTCCGTAGGACAACTTTTCAGACTTGTGATAACTGGCCAAAAGAAGATGTACTCTTTAAAAAAAAAAACAAAACAAAAAACAAATTGAGATAGTAGGTATACATGTGGTTTTAAGAAATAATAACAGAGGTCTCAAGTTTCCCCCAATGGAAACATACAGCAAAACTATAGTACAATATCACAACCAGAATATTGACATTGATACAGTGGAAACATAAGACATTTCCATCACTCCAAGGAGCCCTTTTTGTTGCCTTTTTATAGCCACACCTCCCACCTTCCGCCCACACTGATCTGTTCTTCACTTTTATACTTTTGTTATTTCAAAAGTAGAACTCATTCAAAAATGGAATCATATGGTATGTGACTTCTGGGGATGGCTTTTTTCACTCAGCATAATTCCCTGGAGATTACCCAAATTGTTGCGTGTATCACTAGTTCGTTCCTTTCTATTGCTGAGTATATATGGTTTGTTTAACCATTTGCTCTTTTTATTTTTTTTTTAATTTTTTTTTCAACGTTTATTTTTTGGACAGAGCCAGAGCATGAACGAGGGCAGGAGCAGAGGGAGACACAGGAATGAAATAGGCTCCAGGCATCATGGACATCAGCCCAGAGCCTGATGCGGAGGCTCTGACCTCCAACACAGGACCCCAAGAGACGTGACCTGGCTGAAGTCGGACGCTCAACCACTGGTTCATCATGCTCCCAGTTCCACCATTTGCCTCTTTTAAAAAAGTTTTTTTTTTTATGTCTTTTGGAAGACTGGAGAACATGAGTGGGAGGGGGGTGAAAGGAGGAGACAATGAGGAACTCTAAGCAGCTCCAGGCCTCTTGGAGTTGTAGCATCGACATGGAGCCTGACGGGACTCGAACCCACTAACTGTGAGATCATGACCTGAGCTGAAGTCAGACACTTAAACGACTGAGTCACCCAGGTGCCGCTAACTATTTGCTCTTTGAAGGACATCTGGGTTGTTTCTGGTTTTTGGCTATTACAAATAAAGCTGCTGTGAACACATATGTACAGGTTTTTGTATAAACATAAATTTTCAAAAACAACAACAACAACACACACACACATTAAGGGGCACCTGGGTGGCTCAGCCAATTGAGCATCAGACTTCAGCTCAGGTCACGACCTCATGGTTCATGGGTTCAAATCCTACATCAGGCTCACTGCTGTCAGCACAGAGCTGACTTCGGATCCTCTGTCCCCTCTTTCTCTGCCCCTTCCCTGCTCATGCTTTCTCCCTCAAAAAATAAGTAAGTAAATAAATAAAAATGTTCATTTCTCTGAGATAAATGCCCATGAGTGCAATTGTTTGGTTGAATGGTAGCGTATGCTTAGTTTTATAAGAAACTGCCAAACTATTTCCACAATGGCTATACCATTTTGAACATTGTACATTTTATAGTTCTTCATCTGTATTGCTGAATTGTTTTCAAAGAGGGTCATGTTGGGGTGCCTGGGTGGCTCAGTCGGTTGAGCGTCCGACTTCGGCTCAGGTCATGATCTCGTGGTCTGTGAGTTTGAGCCCCACGTCGGGCTCCATGCTGAAAGCTCAGAGCCTGGAGCCTGCTTTGGATTCTGTGTCTCCCTCTCTCTCTGACCCTCCCCTGTTCATGCTCTGTCTCTCTCTGTCTCAAAAATAAATAAACGTTAAAAAAAAAATTTTTTTAAAAAGGGTCATGCTAATATGCATTACCACTAGGAATGTAGAGTACATAAAATATGTAATGTTTTGCCACATACTTTTAAAAAAATGTTTTATTTATTTTTTGAGAGAGAGAGCACGAACAGAGGTAGAGGCACAGAAAGAGTGGGACATAGGATCCAAAGCGGGCTCTGCGCTAACAGGCTGACAGCAGTGAGACTGATGCAGGGCTTGAACTCATGAACCATGAGCCTGAGCCTAAGTCGGATGCTCAATTGACTGAGCCACCCAGGAGCCTTTTGAGTATGGGCTCTTAAGATTTTAAACTTTTTTGCCAATTTCTCAATATGTTAATATTAAATTAATATTTTTTAGGTCAGTTTCTAACCAGACTTTTTCAACTTCTTTTCTCCATATTGGTTTTATGATAACTAAACCCAACCAAAGGAAGACTCTTCCTGTCTCCTATAGAGCTATACACAGTAGCCCTTACCTTCTGACTAGAGCACTAGATGAAGTTGCTTTGATTTCTCTGGGCTCTGAGGTCAGAGACCTTTTAGTATCTCCTAGGTTTTTTGTTTCTTGTTTTGTTTTTTACAAAGATACTTATTCATTGCAGAAAATTTGGAAAATTTTAACAAGCACCCAGAAGAAAATGAAAGTCATCTGTTATACACTTGAAGTATTAAAACAAGTCTTTATTAGTTGTAGTAATAAAACAAAGTTGTTTTTCTATGCATGTAGATTTTTAAAATGTTTTTATTATTTTATATTAGAGAGAGAAAAAGTGAGAGTGGGGGAGGAGCAGAGAGAGAGGGAGAGAGAGGATCTAAAGTGGCTCTGTGCTGACAGCAGAGAGCCCAACGTGGGGCTTAAACCCACAAACCGTGAGGTCATGACCTGAGCCCAAGTTGGATGCCAAACCGATCAAGCCACCCAGACGCCCCTATGCATGTAGATTTTTTTTAAATTGAGGTGTTTTACATATGGTTCTAAAAGCTGCTTTTTTTCCATCTTAATATATTATTATAACAATATATTATAACAATATTTTCCATCTTAACAATATATATTTCAGGTTTTTATAAACATTTTTTGAGTTACTGAATATTCTTCTAAATTGTAATATTTTTTATTTTAGAGAGCGAGGGAGAGAGAAAGAGAGCCAGTGCACGTGGGGGAGAGGGGCAGAGGGAGAAAGAGAGAAAGAGAGGGAGACAGACTCTCAAGCAGGTTCCACATTCAGTGCAGAGCCCAACACGGGGCTTAATCCCACGATCCTGGGATCATGATCTGAGCTGGAACCAAGAGTTGGATGCTCAATGGACTGAGCCACCTAGCGCCCCTACCTTATAGTTTTTAATAGCTAAATAGTACTCCACATTGTTATCTTGCACCATAATTTAACCAGTTTCCTTCCTGCAATGCTGATTGGATTTCCACAAAATTTTTCGCCCCAACAGGACAATTGCTTCCTAACAACAATTACTGTAATTTCCCATTAAGAATATTCTCCAGTGTTCCCTCTAATTAGACTAATATACTTTTGGCACCATTCTCCTTTATTTACTCTAACACCTCCCTCTCCATTTTCTTTCAAAGAGTGTACATTCTTTTATCTAGCCTCAAAAGAAACTTGTAAATCGTTACCAGCTGAACCCCATGTCATTGCATCTGTGGTTCTAGCGATCTTATTAATAACATTTTATTTCTACCTATTTCATAGTAAAGGCAATAATCTCATTCTTGTCTGATAACTTAATGAAATTAATAAACTCAAGAGCAAATACAGTTTTTTTGGTCTAATGCAGAATTCAGA